AATAAATTGAACTAACAAAACGAGGAAATACTTTGTAATCACAATATGCAAATATTCACATAGGAACGTCCAAAGTAAATAGCAAATCCTGTTCGCTTCGGCTTAAAATGGTTTGTGCACCTTTCTTGGTTGAAAAACCTTTTGCAGTCTAGGATGCGGCTGTGCCAACTAACACAGAGAAAACTTCAAAACTCGCCCGACAGTGTTTACAAATACAGTTTTGGTCAAGCTTATTTTTAAACGTGAGGTTATAAGTTGACGACGAAAATCGACAGAAAACTTAATTTGTTTACAATATGCAACTTACCACAACCTCCACAAAGCGACTCACGTGTTACTGTTTAGGAACGAGCGAAATTAAAACGATGTAATTTATAAAATGCCTCACAGCGTGGCTTCAAATAAGGAAGACTTTAAAAAGGATTCTACTGAAAATAAGCTTATCTCGCCGAGGAAACTTCATAATTTTCATAGCAAAAGTCACTTACGGCAAGTTGGCAATTCCCTTCAGCCAGTGTAAATCTTCTAGGCAGAAACTTGCAGCAGAAGTTCAGCAGAACTGAACTAATCTTTTCGATAGATCCACGTATCAAACATTTTTTTTCCGCTGTGTTTTCTGTTTTGTAATTTCTCTAAACACACAGATGCGTTTTGTTTCTCTTGTTCGTCACCTGACTTTAATCATGTGACTTTTCTTGCATGGCTGCACAGCATCTCGACGCGCGAATTAACTTGGGAAGTTCTGTAGTCCTCGGGTATTTCACCTCCTTTCTATAGTCCTCGTTAGCTTTGCTTCACGGCATTGTTCGATATTATTTCATCTCTTTTCCCTAGCCCTTGACTCGCTATAATTCACGGCATTGTTCAGTACTGTTTCGCCTCCTTCCGCAGCGCTGGCCCGCTCTCTTTCGCGATCTTCTTCACTACTTCTTTGCCTGTTAATTCTTACCTTCTGTTTCTGTTTTTTGCTTCAGTGCAACCCCATCTTAAAAACGTTAGATCAACCCCCGCTATCGTTTGCTGACATAACAAATAGAAATGAATTTTCTTTTCTTTAAAAATCCCGCCAAAAAAGATGGTATTCTTCCGTTCCCCCGTTCGCGTTACCGCGAGGCTCCTCTCCCCCTCCCAGAGAGTCTGTACGGACGGCGTTCGGTCGCTTGCTCGTACGGTGACGTCATAACCAAATTTTCTCGGCTTGATGGGTTACCAAATCTGCTAAGGAATGGGGCTCCGTCCTTGTGGCCCTTCAGGCCACGGGAGCTCCGCTATAACAATTAAAGGTGATAATGGTATATAGTTTGTGCATGGAGGCTAATATAACCGGGAAGTTATTGGGTTAGCATCCATCTCGTTTGAGTGAACATAAAAACATAGGAGTGGAAGGACGGATTACTAAAGGAAAAGGCTAGAAGAATTGTGGAAACTTACGTTTGATATTGCTGAGGTAGAACATAGTTTCTAACACTTTTGGAGAAAACAAATTGATTTAGATCTTTAGACTTGCCAAAGATCAATGGCCATAAATGAGAACATTTGTTGGTCAGTATTTGTTTTCAATCAAAATTTGTGAAGATTTTGATTGGCCGCATGCCACGAATTTTTTTGCCCCATTTAGAGTAACGTTTTTGATGCCGCGAGTTTGTTTTAAACCAATCACGTGGTATATTGAAATGCACCATGTGAGGACATTTTTTCTGTGTGGCGTCCTGACTTTTGCGTATTGCTACGATTATCAGTTGAGTAAGGCACGAGGGAAGTTTGGTTACGAAGTTTTGGGCTTAAAATTATGGTGTTGTCACGGGCAACTTTCCTCGTTTCCGTTGGTAACATTAGAGAGTTCAAGCATGACGTTTACGGCAGACGGCAAAGATTACCTCTGAATTTGTGTTCTTTTCTCCTAATCCATAACTAAATCACACAAAAATGGATAAATGTCTCCTACTATAGACAGCTGAAGACAGACGGCAGAAGTCTCATTTTTGCCATTTGCCGTTTGACGTAACGTCTCTAATATTAGAGAGGTTAAGCGTGACGTGTACAGCAAACGGCAAACGGCAAAACTGAAACTTTTGCCGGCTCTCTTCAGCTGTGTGTACAGTAGAGTGAAATTATTTGTATTTGCAAAGAATAGTAGGAGGCGTTATCCTATTTTTGTGTGCTTTATTTACGGATTA